CTCGCCTGCGGCTGTGCGACGGTCGGGCGTTATCCTCCGCAGCTGCCTCGCGGGGACCGGGCCGGACTCTTTCAGCGGCCTCCACTGGGGACCGCGTTTCCACGAGGCCGAGGCCCAAGGTCGCCCGGCTGTGGGGCGGGTTCTGCGAGGAGGGATGCTGGCAGGAGCGCAGGTGAGGGGGACGCGCAGGTGAGAGGGGACGCCCAGATGAGAGGGGTGCCGAGGTGAGCAGGCAGGCCCACCTGGCGGGGAGGACTGAGGTGCCTCTGGCTTGACTCCAGGTGGGGCTGTGCCTGTGTGAACTAGCCTCCCCTTGGCCGTAACTTTGGGACAGAGAATTCTTACCTGTCGTTCCTGTCCTTCCGTAGGCCCTAAGTGGGGCTTGCTCATCTGACAGGTGTCAGGAAGCAGCACCCAGGGCACCCCTCATGTGGGTCTTTCTTGGACTCTCCCTGCCCTGTCCACAGGTGCCAGTCACTCCCGCCCAGCCGTCCTTCCGGAATGTGTCCCATGGAGTGCCAGTCTTGTGCTCTCCCTTCAGCTGTCTGTAGGTGACCCAGCACCTCAGGGTGTCCAGCCATGCAGCTGACCCTGGCCCTTCGGGACCACCTCAGGCTGGTGAGGGAGCCGCTGCTATTGCTGCCCCCGCCCCGGGTACTCCCCTGTGCAGCCCGCCCGGTAAGCCCTGCCTGTGGATCCCTGACACCGAGTTTCAGCCTCACGGGCAGCCCCCCAGGGAGCTTACGCTGCCCAGGCAAGTGAGCCTGGACCATGCCGTCCACCTCGGTGTCCGTGCCCCACGCGGAGGGGCCGCCGCAGCCAGGAGGCACCATGCTCAAGGAACAGCTTCTGCCGGGAGACAAAGGCCTGGCCCAGAACCCCCCAGCCCCACCTCCCACCGGGAGTCCTGGGAAGACTGCCACCAAGGACACACAGGCCATGGTGAAGGCCCTCACCCCAATGCCACCCGCCAGGCCCAGGCTGGAGCGCACCCTGTCCCTGGACGAGAAGGGCTGGAGGCGGCGGCGCTTCCGAGCCAGCCAGGAGGACCTGGCCGGCCAGGACAAGGCTGGGCCTTGCAAGGACCCCCCCGAGGCCCCCACCTGCAGCAGCTTACCGCCCGGCCTGAGCACCTCCTTACAAGAGATCCCCGAGTCCCACCGGGCCCCGGGAAGTCCTTCTTCGTGGGGTAACTGCCTCTCGGGCATGATCAGCACGTCCCTGGACCTGCTGCACAGAGAGGCCGCTGCCACGGGGAGCACCCCCAGGCTGGCCAACGTGCTCCCCCCATGCCCGCTGCCCGCCATGGACCTGAGTGTCTCCTCAGACTCGCTGAGGATGGCCAACAAGGTGGACCCTGACCGTGAGGATTTCCGGCGTCGCGTGCAGAAGCTGGTCCGGGCCCACAGCAGCCTGGGCCCCAGCCGGCCCCGCAGCCCCCTGGCCTGCGACAGCTGCTCCCTGCGCTCGGCCAAGTCCTCCTTCAGCCTCCTGGCCCCCATCCGTGCCAACGACGTCCGCAGCAGGTACACCCCCGGGAGGGAGGGTCTCCCCGGCTTTTATGTTGCTCGGAAGCAAGTCCCAAAGACTCACTGGGTATATTCTCCTCAAAGGTCTGTAAGGTTTACAGATGAGAGCCCCACCCCCAGCTCCTTCCCAGAAGTGACGCCCTCACCAGTTTGCCCTACACCTTTGCAGAGCTTTTCCTGTACGTCTCAGTACCGCCCTCGCACACGATGTACGGTAGATCGTGGTGTTGGCTTGTTCTGAGTGTGTATCAGTGAGATCACGTGCTACCTATTCCTGTGTATCTCGTGCGTTTTCTCTTGGCCTCTTTGTCGGTTCATGAAAGTAAGTCTGCCCCCTTCGTTTGGCCCAGAATGCCGAGCTGTGTGGAGCCATGGCTTTGCGAGCCTTGTTCTAATGGCTGCATTCTGGTGGGTTCCAGCTGCTGCTGGAAACCTTGCCTCAGCAAGGCTCCTGGAAGTGCTCCTGGGGGGCTCTCCAGGTCTTTCCAGGTGAGGCCTGCAAGTGGAGGTGCTGGGCCACTCCATGGCGGGGAGGGAACGGGTCGGAGCTTCGGAAAGCGCAGACCCCGCCTTCTGCGATCAGATCTGTCAGCTCTCCGCGGGCTCCTCCTCCCACCCCCCAGATCCCCCTCGCTGGCCCCTGTGTGTCCTGCACAGGCCGTCGGAGCTTTAACCATTGCTCCACCTTGTCTGCTTCCCCTCCCTGTGTGCAGCCCGCACCCAGCTCTCCTGGGCCAGAGCCCTGAGTTCAGGCGCCCCACGTCCCCAGATTGGACTTCCAGGGAGTTCTTGAGGTGGGCCTGTCCGAGCCATCTGCTGTCATCCGGAGCCTAACTGCCTCCTGAACCTGCCCTGGGCTTGTCCAGAGGGCCCAGGCTGCCACTAAGAGTCATCTCCACCCTCCAGTGCCATCCCTCCCCTTGGCTCGTGTTTGAGTGTCTGTCTGTTTGGGCTTCTCACGGCTCCTGTCCATGTCAGCGTCTCTAACAGGGCTGGGTGGGCTCTTTGTGAGTTGACGTCTGGTTGCGCCCTGCCTCAGAGGCCCCGTGCTGCCCTGGGTCAGTTCGGGCCTCTGGCCCCTGCTCTGGCTTCGCCTCCCCTCATCCCCCACCCACACGCTCTCCAGGCCTGACCCCGGCACACACACAGCTCTGGGTGCTCTGTGAAGGGGCTGTGTAGGGGTGAGGAGGGAGGGGAGTTTGAGAAGAGAAAGAGGTGTGAGGGGGCCACCGTATTGGTTTTCTGACGCTGCCGTAGCAAAGTGCCACCTGCTGGGGGGATGTAAGACAACAGGAATTCATGCATTCTCTCTGGAAGCAGAAGTCGAAGACCCAGGGGCCGGCAGGCCGTCTCCTGCAGAGGTCTTTCCCGGCTCCTGGTGGCTGCTGGCAGCCCTTGGCTCGTGGCCCCATCGCTTTGGTCTGTTCTGTCGTCATGCAGCCTTTTCTGTGTCTCTTAGGGACTCTTGGCCCTGGGTGTAGGGCCCCCGAAATGATCCTGGGTGATCTCACCTTGAGACCCTTCACTCAATCACATCTGCAAAGACCCTTCTTCCCAACAAGGTCCAGTCACAGGTTCTGGGGACCAGGATGTGGCCGTATCTTTTGGAGCCCCCATTAGCCCACTTTAGTCCCCGACGCGAGCCTACCACCCTGGCCATCCCAGCCGGGGCAACGCACCTTTGACACGCAGGCAGAGGGTCCCCCTCCACACCCCCGGAGGCCCCCTGCACCTGGAGGGGCCAGCGCCCCAAGTGGCCCACGATGGTCCCCCCACATTTCGTTCATTGAATGCGCTCCCCAGGAGGTCACTTCGTGCGTTTGAAGTGCCAGCGTGCTCTTCCAGTTGTGCACGGTCGATTCGCACACACCGCCGTGTGAGAGTCTGCACGTCATCCTGAAGACAGCCGCAAACAGGAGACTGACGGGGCTCCTTCCCCCTGTTCTGCTGCCTGAAGACCCCCTTTCCGGGCCCTGAGTGTGTCCCAGAGCAGGGGCAGCAGGCGTGCTCTGCAGAGGGCCGGAGAGCACACGTCTCAGGCCTTGTGGGCCATGCAGTCACTGTCGCATATCCCCGGCTCTGCCCTCATAGCTCCAGGCAGCCCCAGACGACACTACGCGAGAGGGCGTGGCTGTGCTCCCGCGGAACTTTACTTAAACCAAAAACCAAACCCGTTGCCGTCAAGTCAATGCCGACTCGTAGCGACCGTATAGGACAGGGTAGAACCTGCCCCGTAGGGTTTCCAAGGAGTGGCTGGTAGATTCGAACTGCCAACCTTTTGGTTAGCAGCCAAGCTCTTTTTTGTGTGAAAAGGAATTTTTTTTTAATTGTTGTAGTTTAAGTGAAAGTTTACAATTCAAGTTAGTGTCTCATACAAAAATTTATACATACATTGTTATGTGACCCTAATTGCTCTCCCTATACTATGACAGCACACTCCTCTTTTCCACCCCTGATTTCCTGTGTCCATTCAACCAGCTCCTAACCCTCTCTGCCTTCTCATCTCACCTCTAGACAGGAGCTGCCCGTTTAGTCTGATGTATCTACTTGAGCTAAGAGGCACACTCTTTACAAGTATCATTTTATGCCCCATAGTCCAGTCTACTCTTTGTTTGAAGAGTTGGCTTCGGGAATGGTTTTAGTTTTGGGCTAACCGAGAGTCTGGTCCATGCTTTCTGGGGTCCCTCCAGTCTCAGTCAGACCATTAAGTCTGGTCTTTTTATTAGAATTTGAGTTCTGCACCCCACCTTTCTCCTGCTCCATCAGAGACTCTCTGTTGTGTTCCCTGTCAGGGCGGTCATTGGTGGTAGCCGGGCACCGTCTAGTTCTTCTGGTCTCAGACTAGTGAAGTCTCTGGTTTGTGTGGCCCTTTCTGTCTCTTGGGCTAGTACTTTCCTTGTGTCTTTGGTGTTCTTCATTCTCCTTTGCTCCAGGTGGGTTGGGACCAATTAATACATTTTAAATGGCCACTCACAAGCTTTTAAGACCCCAGACACCACTCACCAAAGTGGAATGCAGAACATTTTCTTAATGAACTTTGTTACGCCAGTTGACCTAGATGTCCCCTGAAAGCATGGTCCCCAGACCCCTGTCCCTGCTACTTTGTCCCTCAAAGTATGTGGTTGTATTCAGGAAACTTCTTAGCTTTGGTTTAGTCCCGTTGTGCTGACTTCCCTGTAGTGTGTCCCGTCCTTCTCTTCACGTAAGGTAATTCTTGTCTACTATCTAGTTAGTGAATAACCCTCACCCTCCCTCCCCACCCTCGCAACCATCAAAGAATGTTTTCTTCTGTGTTTAAACTTTTTCTTGAGTTCTTGTAATAGTGGTCTTATACAATATTTGTCTTTCTGTGACTGACTAAACTCACTCAGCATAATGTCTTCCAGATTTCTCCATGGTATAAAATGTTTCACGGCTTCATCGTTGTTCTTTATCGTTGCGTAGTATTCCACTGTGTGAGTGTACCATAATTTGTTTATCCATTTGCCCATTGATGGGCACCTAGGTTGTTTCCATCTTTTTGCTGTCATGAACAATGTAGCAGCCAAGCTCTTAACCACTGTGGAACTTTACTTAAAAAACCAAAAACCCAGACCCATTGCCATCTAGTCGATTCTGACTCATAGCAGCCCTATAGGGCAGAGTACAACTGTCCCAAAGGGTTTCCAAGGAGTGGCTGGTGGATTCAAACTGCCCACCTCTTCGTTAGCAGTCGAGCTCTTAACCACCACGGAACTTTACTTAGAGACACTGAAATGTGGATTTTATATAAGTGACACCTGTCATAAAGTACGTGTTACCAGAAGAGACCATTGGAATCCAGGAAGCACAGAGAGTTCTTATCAAAAGCACCTGATCCTGACCCCGTCCTTGCCCGTGAAGAGTGGACACTGGCTTGAAGTACGGGCGCGATGTTGAGGAAGGGCGAGGGGCACTGGCAGGGGCTGCGTGTGCAAAGCCACGTGTTCACCCACGACCGCGGAAGAGAACATGTCAGCAGACAGCATATCAAGAAGGAATAGCGTAAACGTGTTACTCGGAGAAACTGGTAGAACAAGGGTTTGAAAACTGGACCCGTGGACCAGCGCCAGCCCTCCCGCTGCTCTTGTACAGCCCGCGAGCTAAGCATGGTTTTTACATTTCTAAGTGGTTGGTGGGAAAATCAAAACAGTAGTAATAATATTCCATGATGTGTGAAATGGTAATGAAACTCAGATTTCAGCGTTGACAAAGTTTCATTGGCACAGCCGCGCCCACTGGTTTCCGTGCGGCCCGTGGCCGTCTTGTGCTAGGACGGGCCTTGACAGACTGCACGGCCCACAGAGCCCAGTGTTCACTGTCTGGCCAGAGGAACGAGCACATTGAGTGTGTCCTTCGGGGCCAGACAGGGTGAGGGGTGGGGATTGACTGGTTTTCATCATGGGCTTTCCCAGGCTGTTGGGTATTCTTAACCCTGTGCACACTTTATTCTCTTAACATCTTAAAATGAACGGACGCCGTAGGGACATGAGGGTAGGCGTCCATCCCTCAGGCGGTGTCCCACACTGGCCCTGGCCCTCTGCCCTGCCAGGCGCCCTCCACCTTTCTGTGTGGACCAGAGGTTCTCCCCGGGCAGCTGCACATGCTCACAGGCCTGCGTGCAGTGTGTCCCTCCATGGCCCTGCCCGGGACCTTGCCCTTTAAGAGTTGCACTGAAAGAGCCCAAAATGTCCCCTTCAGGTCCCTTCTCCCAGGAGGACTTGGGAGAAGTGTGGACACACGCTGGTATTTATAGAACTGCGCACACGGCTGGTTTCCAAGGGCGTAGGCCACCGTAGCGCTATGTCCGGTGTGACCTGCGGGACACAGAACATTCCTGCTCCAGGAGTCGATTCGGGGGCTGATGCTGCCCAGGCAGTGGTCGGCCACGTGGCCCCATCTGCTCAGACCCAGCCTCGCCTGACAACCGTCCTGCGGTGAAAGGCCTCCTTGGACAGGGCCTGGGGCCCTCGGCTTCTCCAGCTGGCGCTCAGTCTGGCCTCCTCTCCGCAGGAGCTACCTGGAAGGCAGCCTCCTGGCCAGTGGGGCCTTGCTGGGCGCGGACGAGCTGGCGCGGTACTTCCCGGACCGGAGTGTTGCTGTCTTTGTGGCCACTTGGAACATGCAGGGCCAGAAGGTATGTGGTGCCACCCACCTGGTGATGCACAGGTGCCCCCAAAGCCCTCCTCCCCCACACCCCTATCTGCAGCCACCTGCCTCTGCCCGGCCCCTCCTCCCTCACACCTCCGTCTGCAACCACCTGCCCCTGCCCAGCCGCTCCTCTCCCTCATCTCCGTCTGCAGCCACCTGCCCCTGCCCGGCCCCTCCTCTCCCCCCACCTCTACGCTTCTGGGTCTTGACCACACTGACTCCCCCCCTGCAGGGCACTTGCCCCGTGGCCCTGCTTTGCCTTACTCCCCGCAGCCCCCCAGACACCCCCACTCAGGAGGACCCATCATCCCTGTGCCCACCTGACCCTAAGCCTCCTGCCCTCCGTGCTGGGCTCCCTGGAAACTGGTTTTGGGCAGGTTTCCGTTGACTTTCTCGGGTGCTGACTCTCCACCTCCCGTGACCTGGCCAGGCCTGTCCGGGGAGGGATGGGGTCCTGGCTGCCTGGGTGCGCAGCCTGGGCACCAGACGTCCTCAGCCTGGTGTGCGAGAGGGTTGGGCTTTCTTGAGGCTCTGCAGGAGGTGCAGCAGGTCAGCAAGGTAGCTCTTCACACGGGTCTGAGGCGCTCTCCCAGGCGGGGGGCAGGGAGGTGTCACCCAGGTGTCGGTTAGTGATGGACGGGGTCAGAGGTGGCCCGGTGGCCGTTCCCTCCCTCGGCCAGGTCTGGGCGAAGGCGGGCACCAGCGCCATCCCTGCCCACCCACAGGGTGTGGCTCGACCCCTTGGCCAGGAGGCTGTTCGAGCAGAGGCGGGCCACCCACTTCGCCAAGCCCACGGCCCTTCCAGGATTCAGCCACGTAGCCAAGCATGAGGCTGGAACCTGCAGGCCTGTGGCGAGTGGTGGTGGGACCCCGCGTCCTGCCGCTCGGGGCGGGGGCTGAGGTGCATTAGAGCGGTCAGACACCTGGATGCCGCAGCTGCTAACGTGCTGGGTTCACGGCCCAGGAGGAGGCCCGGGGCAGCCTGTGGTCAGCCGGGGGTGGCTCCCGGACACGCTTGTGTTCCGTGGGGAAACAGGCCTGGAGCGGCCGGCCCAGACTCATTGCATCTCTGGTAAAAGGGCCGTTTGCTGACCTGCTCAGAAAAGGCGCTGTGACAAGTATAGCTGGTGGCTCTGCAAAGACGCGAGCCAGGCAGGCCTCCTCCTGGGCCCCTGTCCCTGGACCCCCGTCCCTGTGCCTGCACCGACCCCATGCTGCTCCTCCCTCAGGAGCTCCCGCCCAACCTGGATGAACTCCTGCTGCCCACCGAGGCCGACTATGCCCAGGACATGTACGTCGTCGGGGTCCAGGAAGGCTGCTCTGACAGGTAGGCCTGGCCACCACTGCACCTCCCCGTCCGTCCTCCACACTCCCAGGCCGCCAGGCCCCGCGGTCTGTGTGCGGTGGCTCTGTCGCGGGCCTGCGGACTGGAGTTTGCGCTGCCCGGGACGCCCATGGGTGACCGACGTGGGCCACCTGCAGTGCCGCGTGCTCTCTGGAGCCGTAGGCAGGGTCAGGCGGGGCCGAGGTGGCCTGAGCACGTGGCCATGCCTCGTTTCCGTGGCGCCTCGAGCCTCCAGCTTGGATGCAACCAGCTTTTGTAGACGGAGTTGTTGGAGAGAGCATAGAGGCCGGAGAGCAGCCTCCGCTGGCTTCCCTCAGTCCCTGGCGGTGGGTCTCCTGCCTGCACCTCCTGCAGGGGCTCAGGGTGGTGGTCCGGGCGGCCCCCACACTGCCCCAGGCCCGTGACTTTCTCCACAGGCGGGAGTGGGAGGTGCGCCTGCAGGAGACGCTGGGTCCCCACTACGTGCTGCTCCAGTCAGCGGCCCATGGCGTGCTCTATCTGTCAGTCTTCCTCCGTAGGGACCTCATCTGGTTCTGCTCAGGTGGGTGGTGCTGGATCCCCAGGCGTCTTACCTGCCTGTGGCCGGGCCACTGGCTCAGCCCCGGGGTGGGGGGCTGTGCGGCTGTGAGGGCGGTGTGTGGGCGCAGGCTCGGTGGGGCCAGCCCCAGGAACGCTCCCTCCCTCCGTCTGTCCCTCCCCTGCAGAGGTGGAGTGCTCCACGGTGACCACGCGCATCGTGTCGCACATCAAGACCAAGGGCGCCCTGGGTGTCGGCTTCACCTTCTTCGGCACTTCCTTCCTCTTCATCACGTCCCACTTCACCTGTGAGTCGCCAAGCCGTCACCTCAGAACCTCCCCTCTCCTCACTGCCAGGGGGCATGGGAGGGCGGGGTTCCTGGGACCTCCAGCAAAGCTGTGGCTCACGAGGACCCTGGGAGGGGGCCACGGTGTCTGCGACATCACTGCCTGTGTGCGGGGCTCCGTCCCATCTCCTGTGAGTGAACCGGGCGCTCCTGGAGACAGGCCAGCCCCTCGCGCGAGCCCGTTGCACAGACGCGATGCTGAGATGGTGCGGCGCCTGCCCCAGGGCCCTCGGCCAGGAGACCCCTGGCAGCGCCAGGCCAGGCCCCAATGGCGAGACCCCCGGCAGCGCCAGGCCAGGCCCCAGTGGCGAGACCCCCGGCAGCTCCAGGCCAGGCCCCAATGGCGAGAGCCCCGGCAGCACCAGGACAGGCCCCAATGGGGACACTGGTCCTGCCAGTGGCAGCCTCTGCAGAGAGGCCAGGTGGAGTCTGTTCATTTCAGTGTTTAGGGACTCGGGCTGAGGTGCTGTCCTGGCTGGAGGACGCGGGGCCCACTCACAGCCTCAGGGTCCTCGGCAGGCAGTGGGCAGCTGTACGGGGGCCTCACTCCCATCAGCAATGCCCTGTCTCCGCCGGCCGCTCCCTGACCCCTCAGAAGGCTGCACGGCTCTTTTGATCACTTAAATTCTAGAACTGCGGGCTGGGGACGGTCTGTGGTGGATGAAGAGATGAAAGAGACAGGGCGACCAAACGTAGCGAGCCAACTGGCGGGACCCGGGCTGGAAGAACTAGCTAAGCCGCGTGCTGGGGACGCCTGCGGATGGGGCTGTGGGCCCGCCGCCGGCTTGTTGGTCATAGGCTGTTGGTCTGCGATATCCGGTCCCGTGGGAGAACATCCTGGTTCCTACGGTGCATGCTAAGGTGTCAGGAGTCTGCAACCGACTTTGCAATGGTTAAGCTGAAAAAAAGTAAGCTAAAAAAATATATACACGTGTATACACACACACACACACATCTGTACACACATACACCTGGTGGTTGTCGTTGGGTGCCTTCGAGTCAGTTCCGACCCGGAGACCCTACAGGACAGAGTAGAGCCGCCTCAGAGGGTTTCCAAGGAGCAGCAGCTGGTGGATTCGAACTGCCGATCTTTTGGTTAGCAGCCTGGGCTCTTAACCACTTCGCCACTAGGGCTCCATATACATGGTGTGCGTGTGTGTATACGTGTGTACACAGCACATACACGCACACACACAGGAAGAGTAAGCTGTCACGTACAGCGTCAACACTCGAGTCAACGTGGTCGTGTGCAGATGTTCATTGTACAACTCTTGTGACTACCTGGGTGCTTCAAACATTTGTAATAAGATGTTGGAAAGAAACAGCCAGAAGAGGAAGCCGTCCGCCATCCTGGTTGCTTCTCGCAGGAAGAGACGTGAGCTGTGTCCTTTTTTATCGTGAAAATACACAGCAGAACATCCCCCCGCTCATCCGTTCCTGCACGTACAGTTCAGTGACACGGACTATATTCTTCAGGTTGCGCAACCATTCTCATCCTCCTTCTCTGAATTATCCCACCGCATGAACGTAAACTCACTGACCTCTAAGCAAAAATTCCAATGGTCTGTCCTGCTTGAGAGAGCTGGAGCCACAGACAGAGCCCCCTGGTGCTGACCCCGGGCGGTGCTGACCCCAGGCAGCACAGCCACAGAGAGGTGTGGCGGTGGAAGCTTGTGGAAGCCTCATCAGGTGCTGGCCAGGCCTCGGCAGGGGAGGCGTGAGCATCTCAGTGAAGGCCGCCACGGGGGGCTGCTCTCGGGGACACTCACCCTCGCACCGTGTGGCTGGGACCCTCAGTGTGTGTTTTAAAATCTGCCTCTGGAGCCCCCGCCCCATGTCTGTCATTGCAGCTGGAGACGGGAAGGTGGCGGAGCGGCTTCTGGACTACACACGGACCATCCGGGCCCTCGCCCTGCCCAGGAGCGTGCCCGACACCAACCCCTACCGGTCCAGCCCCGGTGAGCGCGACGCGGCGGAGCAGACGCGGGGCTTTGCAGCACCGTTCACGGCAGATGCGTAGCCTTCACTGGGGAGCTGGTAGCCTCCCTTAGCTCTTGGGACAGTTTAGCAGAAAAGTGCTTAGAACTTGGGAGAACCAAGGTCAGAAAAGTCTAGAAGGTCACTGGCCAGTGGAAGTCAGGCCAGTCTGCAAGCCCTTACCAGATTGTGGCTGCGTGGGCCTGGGCAGTGGGCGGGCAGACCAGTGCCCACCAGGCCGTGGAGGCTCAGGGCCATGGGAGGGTGGGGCCGTGGGGCTGGGACTTGGCTCTGCCGCCCGCCACCCTCGGGGCCGCAAGCATCACTCCAGCCCCTGTACCCCTTCCTCGTCACGACGGGCACCCCACCTTCTGGGGGGGCTGTGAGGCTGAGGTATGTGCTGGGTGACCAATGAGGGGGTGGTGCTGGCATGAGACCGCTCCATGGGTTTCTGGGCGCCTGCAGCTGTTTGAATGTACGTGGCGGCCGCCTACACCCCGAGCCTCCCAGGACTGCCTGGGGCTGCCCCCTGCTTCTCTGGTGAGCCCCTGGCCCGCTGTGATTCTGGGGCGGGGGGCAGATTGGCCCATGACACCGCGGTCAGGTGTGGCACTAAACAGCCCACCTGTGCCTCAGTGGACGTCACCACCCGCTTTGATGAGGTCTTCTGGTTCGGGGACTTCAACTTCCGGCTGAGTGCCGGGCGGACGGCTGTGGAGGCACTCCTGAGACAGGAGCTGGAGACAGACATGTCAGCCCTGCTGCAGCATGACCAGCTGACCAGGGAGATGAGGCGAGGTGAGTGCCGGCCTGGGTGGGCGGGGAAGCGCGGGTGCGGGCCGTGCTCTGCCGGTCTAAGCTGCCCTGTGACGCTGCAGGTGCCATCTTCAAGGGCTTCCAGGAGCCAGACATCCACTTCCTCCCCTCATACAAGTTCGACATTGGGAAGGACACCTACGACAGCACCTCCAAGCAGAGGACGCCCTCCTACACGGTGAGATGCCCCTACATGGTGAGATCCCCCTACACGGTGGGATCACCCTACACGGTGAGATCCCCTACACGGTGAGATCATCCTACACGGTGAGATCCCCCTACACGGTGAGATCCCCCTACACGGTGAGATCCCCCTACACGGTGGGATCACCCTACACGGTGGGATC